GGGGGTAAAGAAAGAGAAAGAAAAGAAAATTAAATCTACCTACCATGACAAGTCTGACTTGTACGAATCGAGAATTGAACCGAGCACTATGGCATGATAGGCGGTCGCACTGCATGGGCAACTACAGGATAGAGGCACTAAAAACGTTCACATAGTTTGGGGGATAACCGTCTTTTCTAGCATGATAAACTTCTACGTCATGACCCTCACAGCTCTTTGACAAAGTAAGGCTTCAATATCAAAATTTTCTCTTCCTGAGTGTTGAGCAAAAGATTGATGTCGTTTTCTTACTTTAAGGTAATTTTAACTGTTTCGATAGCCTTCAGAAGTTATATTTGTGTAAAGTTGCAGGACGCGTCGATGCAATGTAACCAAGGCCTATTTCTGTGAAATTGTGACATTCATTTTGTCAACAGGTGAGAGACCCCGCCCGTCCACACAACCACAGCGGTTTTTTCTTTCGTTTCTTCACACCCGACTTCATAGAGTCAATATTTTGTAACAACCAAGATTTGTTTGGCAAAATGTCGGAAGGATCACAAGCACCGACGGCCTTCCAAGCCACCGCCCTGTCTGCTCTTGGTGCGGACGAGAAAGATGCTTGCTGTAATAAAGGAAATGGAGTTAAATCTCATCCGATATTTGAAGCTGTGAAATCAGGGTAAGTCTGTGCCTCATTTTTCTTCGTGGTTTACAGAGTTAATATTGTCGTATTACTCTAACCCATCGCGTCCCTCAGTTTGAGTTTATATCCATGCCAAGTCCAAGCCTGATCTTCTGACTTCTGGAATCTTTCACGATTTCTAAAACAAAAGTCTTTTACAAGTGGAACATGTGAGATCATTAAATGACATCCTATTGATTAGTTTTCTAATTGCAGTTTCTAGATCTACATTGCTTCCAATTTTATAGCGCGGCATCTGTCATAGTCCCTAGAATGCGGCCACGACCATTCATTCAGTCAAGTGGAACGAAAGTATAGTGGAATCAATCGAGTGCCGACATTGATCCAGAATGATCGATAGGACTACGATCATAACAATGGGACTGCTGTGGAAACCAAAGTATAAACAACGCCACGTGTTGTGTTGTGACTTGCAACGTTATGCTTAAGAATGATGGAAGAAATGTTTAAGTGTTACCTTGTCTGGAACTTTACAGAGTGACTGACAAAGACAATTCAATAGATAATAATGCTTCCTTCTTCTTGTCTTAGCCCTAGCCTATAGCCTATAGATCTAGATTCTAGATCTCTAGATCTAGATCTAGATTCTTGATAGAGAGTCTAGTCTAGATTCTAGATCTAATATAAAGATCTAGATCTAGATATCTAGACTAGATAGCCAAAGAAGCCCAAGGCTTGTTAGTCCCTTTTGAATTTGAAAGTAATTAAATAACGAAGTGACTATTTCTCAGAACGTTCGGAGAAATAGTGCCGATCTTTATTTCTCCGCGAACGGTTTCCGGCTTCCGGTCTCGTGATTTTTTGCCTATTTATTGCGAGAATTGGGTGCCAACTTTCATTCTGCCTCTGGTCTGGGATTGGGAAGGAACACCGCATGGCAAGCCCGCCTACAGACAACCTTCAGTAACACCCACCACACACCCACCACCATCATGCACATGTACACACACAAACTTATACACACACTAACTAAACATGATCAGTGGGCAACTTTTGAACGTATGACGAGCTGAGCTGTGGATGGAGAGACAGTATGATATAGTGAAAGAGCAGGTGAAAGGAAGAATGTACGAGTGTATTCACAGGCGACAGCAACTACTACAAGTACAAGACGATGACACTGACCCCCCTGGCCTGGTCCACAGCTCACGAACGAAAGGAATGCGGCTAAGGCAGTGGTTTGCATATATTATTGTCCATGGTTCGCAGGGTGCAAGGGAATGAGTGAGATTTTTTTGTATGTGTGCCTGAAGGGAGGGTGTGGGGTGTGAAAGTCATGCGGACGGGGATGAGCCGCGGGAGAGAACACAGGAATTGAATGAATGAGTGAAACTGAAAGAGAGGAACGACTCATGAGCCCTGGAGTGAATGGATCCTGTGTGTCTATTTTTGTATACTTTGTTTGAACTGTTACTGAATAAAGCCCCCCCCCCCCCCCCTCCCTTTTTTTCCCCCATAAAAAAAAGTTGATAGAAAAACAACACATCAGAACAATATCAAGAAAGAAAAAAGTACACACTAACAAAATAAAACACCACAAAGAGGGAAAAATAAAAGTAACTGTAACGTATTCAACAAATCAACGTGGTGACAAGTGAGAAAGAGACGAAGTCGAAGTGAAGCTAGGTGAACTTTTTTTCAAAAGTAAAGAGGTTCGGTTTCTTTCTTTTTTTATTATTTTTATTATTTGACTTTTATGCTCCGATTTGGGGACCAAAAAATGCAAAAAAATCTAGCCACGATTGATTGGTCGCGGCCGCGACAAACGCAGATATCTATGCTAGTTCTATGTGTCGTATCAATAACCCTCCGTAGATTTAGATCTAGATCTAGACAGCACACGAGTGAACACAACACATTAAGTTTAAGAGCAGCACCCTTCATAGGCAACATGTCATATCTGTAGCGAAAAACTGTTTGGAACTAGCATTTCTTTATAAATATTTACTGCGGACATTTTTTTGACCGATTGAACCATATTGTATACGAACAATCTTTGGTAGGCCTATACTATAATTATAGATCTATATATAATATCCGAAATTTGCGGAAAAGATATGTGATTTTAGAGTGTTCGGAGAAATAGTGCTCAGCTTTATTTTCCCGAACGTTCGGAGAAATAGGGCCTAGCTTTATTTTCCCGAACGTTCGGAGAAATAGTGATGGCCATTAAATAATTAATGGGAGTGTATACAGACCCGGTAACCGGGAACAAAGTCACAAAGTAAGTATACCAGCCCTGGTAGGGGAACTCTTTTACTTTTGTGATTTCGGAAAGTTTCAGCACCCGTTTGGCTCAGGGTAGACCTAGGTTCTTCTTGATCTCTATGGCCTAGGTCTAGATTTAGACAGACAGAGACATAAATCATTGATCTGGTTCCGAGACTAGAAGGCTAGATCTAGAATCTAGATCTAAATGATGATTGCAGATGTCTTCTCGATGAACGATTGTTTTTCCTCCGTTTTGGAGTTGGAGGAATCACAATTTGAAGAAAAGAACAAATGTCATAATTTCAATCGAGCAGTCACCCTCTATATTTCTCAGCCTCTCTCTCTCTCTCTCTGCCTCTCTCTCTCTCTCTCTCTCTCTCTCTCTCTCTCTCTCTCTCTCTCTCTCTCTCTCTCTCTCTCTCTCTCCTTCTCTCTCTGTCTCTCTCTGTCTCTCTCTATCTCTCTCGTCTGTGTATCGCTCGCCTTCTCTTTTTCTTTGTTTGTCTCTGTCTTTCTTTCTTTCCACCTATTTCCCTTTTA